AGTTTTATATATTCGGGAAGCAAGGTAGTAGCTTCCCTTCGAGCACACGAACTCGTTAGAGTTCACCCTCCTAACGAGACCTGTTTCTGGTGGGGCAGGCGAAACCGGTAGAGGGGTTCCACCTGTTGCTCTTCGTGGTACATGTGTCAAGCATGCAGTCTGTGATTTTCTCGCAAATTGTACTTCGACTTGTGTTCTGGCTATGGCCGCTATGACTGTGTATGCCGCAGTTTGCCTATTCTCTGGCTCGTAGTAACCGTCGGCTGTGCATGCTAGATGGTGGCTGCATCGACCGGGTTGTGAAGATACACCGTTCCGTAAGTTGCAGTCTGTTTTGATCTGCAGCAAGGTGTTCAGGGACTCCCCTTACGGTTTTTTCAGAGTTGGGTCGCGGTATTTGGAGTGGGGTTTTTTTGGGCGCTTCGTTCAAAGCTCGGAGAGCGTTTACTAGGAGTGTCACTGGGCGAGGAGATCGGGGGATCTTTGGTAGATCTGACATACGGGTCATTATGTGGCAGTTAGCCTTTGCAGCACGGTGGTGTATGGATTCTCGTTGCGAGGCGTTTGTTGATCGGAGGTGGTATTTGGAGTTGCGACTGTGAGGGCGCTCAGTTCAGGACTTGGAGTGCGGAGATTCGGAAATCCACTATACGAGGAGATCGGAGAACTCTTGGCGGGTATGAGATAAGCGTAGAGATGCCATGATGAAGGTGGGGAAATCCACACACCAGGTACTTTTCGGGATAGGGTTCATCTTTGTGGGGATTGGCCTGATGATCGTTAGTTCGGCTCTGTGAGAGGAGATGCCGACTTTCTGCGCCTGTTGCGGTGGTGATCTCGTTGCATCTAGGCGGGGACGATATTCGTTTCGAGTGCGCTTGATACGCGTGATGGAGAGCTATGTTAATACAATTATTAGACCCTTATTTTATATGATCCGTTTTGTAACTAATGAGAGATTACGCGCAGGGTTGTACGAGTGTTTGATGCGGATGCTTATCTGGATAGAGACTACAGTGCTAGTTCTCAGATCGCGAAGGAGGGTAAGGCGAGAGGAGATCGTGGAACTGTGGAGGGAATGACGTACTACGCATGAGCTCGCACAAGGCGGGTGTAGCGAACGTGAGGGCGTAGCCGCGTGAGCAGCTGGGCTGGAGCTAGTGAGTGGGCGAAGCTTGCTGTAGGATCATAGTGATCTCGTAGGTAGTATTGCCTTCGGCTAGTCGGGCTGACAATGTATCTTACAAATGGCCCGGCAGGGGGCGCTGGTGGTCATTCGGTCGGTAACGCAAGTGGGTTCGGGGGGAACTCTGGCGGGTACAATGGAGCTGGTAATGGGTACGCAGGAGGTGGAGGGGGTTTCGGATGTGGTAATAGTGTTTGCTTCAATTGCGGGAAAACAGGGCATTTTGCTAGGGATTGTTGGGCGAGACGTAACAGTCGGGGTTTCGCGTCGAATAATGTAGATCCAGAATTAGAAGAAATCAAAGAACAACATAGACGGGCGAGGAAGGAGAGGCAGGAGTTGGAGGAGAAGAAACGCCTGGAGGAGGAGCGAAAAGCGAGGGAGGAGGACGATGCAAGGAGAAATGCCGACTTCGCTAGAAAGGCCGAAGAATTTAAACTACAGCTGCGGGCAGAACTTGTGGAGGAATGGAGGAAGAAGGAGTGTGAGGCAAAGAAAGAAGTGAAGAAGATGAAGCGTGGTGATAGAGGTGCAACCAGGGGACGACAGCGCAAGAAAGGGAAGAAGTTTGGTAGGACCGCGAGAAAGATCGCGTACTCGGAGACAAGTGATGATTCGAATTCAGAAACTGTTGACTCCGATACTTCCGATCTTCGGTCATCTTCCACTAGCTCTCACGACGAAGGACACAGGAGACGTGAGCAGGTAAGAAAAGGGAAAAGGAGGACGGGTGAACTATCGAGGTCGAAAAAGGGAAAATTGAGGGAGGCTCCGACGGAAACTCCACCAAGAGCACACGAGCGTGGGGAGTGTTCGAAGCATAGGAGGGAAGAGGCTTCGAAGAAGGCTGAAGCAGGTGAGGATCGGAAGGAGGGAGGGACGGAGCCTAAGACGCCACTATCAGGGGGATATAAAGGATTGGCCGCGGAATGCTCACAAAAGGGGTTAATCGAGTATTGCATATCCGCACATCGGATCTATTCAACGAAGAAGGCAAACACATTGAAGAAGCTATGCGAACGCAAGGGCATCAAGTATACCGGGAAGCTTGACGCCGTGGAGATACTGGCTCGACACCAAGTGGATATGGCGTACAATTGCTTTGAAGAAGGGAGAGGTACGGTTGTAGGAGCAAAAAAGACAACGGGGATAGGGACACCAAAGCCGGGAGTCGCGAAAGGGAAAGGACCGGTAGAAACGACTGCACCGAAACCCGCGAGGGTTATTCTCAAGTCGACACCTGCACAACCTGCTGAAGACTCGGATTCAAACTGACGGTCAATAGCCCCTACCAACAGAGAGTTGTGGGACAGACTTAACTACTGGCCTAATGAACGCTCGACGTTGAGGGGGCTGAACATTACGGGTGATGTAGCCAGGAGAGTGGAGTGTGTGATCTCGGTGACGACGTTGCTGCTCGCCGCGAGTGGGCAAATTCGTGGCTGGAGAAGTTTATTTTGCGTACTGAAGAAGTGGTGAAACTGCTTGATTTGAAGACGGGGGGTGTGTATGCCGTCGTGAGCCCTTGGACTAGGAAGTCGTACGTGGGTTGTACAGTACGACCTATGATCCAGAGGTGGAGGGAGCACTGTCGTAATGCACAAAGCGAGGCTTTGGGACTGGCGCCGCATCTATTTAGGTGGCTCTGAAAATTTGGCATCGACAAGTATACTATGATTCCACTGAAGCACTCTGCAAAGGATGACGATTATGCGTTTGAAAGCTTTCTGATTGCTGAGCTGTGCCCTTGCCTGAACTCTCGTGAGATCGGGAAGGGAGGGAAGCGGACTAGGAGAAGGAGGAGGAAGGGGAGGCGGGAAAGGATTGGGAGAACAGGGGCTGTTCGGGTCCAAAAGTTAGTTACCTTCCAGTATCAGAGCTCTACGTATACCGCGCTGCTGCTATGGTTGAAGGAGCGCGAAGGGAAAGGAAGTTGGGATGTGTCGTTCTCTGAGGGAGTGGTCTAGACGGATCGCTGGAGGAACATAGTGAGGAAGTATGGTAGCACGATTTTGGAGATTGACGGGAGGAGGTCTACGTTGCGGGGAGTGAAGAAGCTACTGGAGAAAGGCGGGCAGGTGAGGTTTATGAGGATTGTCAGAACAAAGACAACCACGGAGAAGAACAAGACTTGGCTGATTGGGCTTCTACGGAAGCCTAGACTGGCAAGCCAACTGGCGAATCTTTCGACCAACAGACTGATTGGGCTGTATAGGACAGCCGGGCTGTTTGCTGAAAAGCAGACAAGATTCAGACTACAAACTAGTATTGATCGTGCCATCGCACGTAGGCTGGGATTTAGCGTGAGGAGGAGGATCAACATCGAATTGCCGTACGATTTGCGTTTGAGGAAATCGGCGATACGAGAAGCTACTGAGGGACTAATCAAGGACGGGGTGTCGGACCACATGGTGGACAAGTTTCTCATGACGAGAGTTCGTATCATTTGGATCAGGAACAGGAACGTCGGTGAGCTACTATACAATCAGAAGGCCTATGCGAATGAGGAGCAGCACTGCTGCCCTTGCAAAGGCTCGACTCTGCCCAAACTCGAGGGGGACGTCTCGACTCGTTTCTCGAAGATCGAGGTTCCGCAGTTCGTGGCAAATTCGAAGAATATCACTAGGCCGGTGAAGGCTTGCCGGATTCCGACCATCGTTAATGCTATTTTGGAGGTCCTGAAGCATGTTCGGGGCTCTGGAGCGATGCAGGTGGACTTCGCATCGTTTTGGGAAGATCGGGAACCAGGTGAAGGAGCCTGGACGAACGAGGAGGTGAAGAACTGGGCATCGCATTTCGATGGGTTTGTCCTGGTGCCTATATATCGCAACCAGGGAGACACGGCAGTTATCTGTCCAGTATTATATAGGCATGCGTTCGGGAAGACGTTCGCCTGGAACACAAACTACGAATGCGCTGGGATGGTGGAGACAGAAGCATCGCTGCTGAGCATCTGCAAAGCGGACTTTTTTAGTAAGGGGCTGGAGAAGATTGGTGGATGGAGACCTGACGGCCGTCTGGGAGCTGCTTATGTGATCCCGAAGCACAAGGACTTGGGACGATGGCGGCCGATCGCGCCAGCACCAGCGGATCCTGCTGCACTTGCACAACGGAGGGTCGCTAGAGCACTACACTGCCTACTCAAGTGTCTGCCTGAACACTGCTCCTTTTATCTCAATTCGGTAGATGAACTGCCTGAGAGACTGGCAGCTGCTTCTCAACAATTGCGGGCGGCTGGCTGCTCACATGCGGAGGGGAGGTGCTCTGATATTAAGGAGATGTTCTCCCGCATCCCGCATGAAGCTGTCACTCAGGCGGTTCGACAGCTGCTGCGTAAGCACGAAGATGATGGGTGCGTCCAGATTAAGGTGTCTATGCGGGGGAAATTGGTGGTCATCAGTAAGAACAGGCGGAAGACAGACGGGTATGTTAGTATCACACTGAAGCAGATTTTGAGGGGTGTTGAGTATGATCTCGAGCACTCTTTTGTGAAATGCGGAGGGAAGATATTGAGGCAGATTTTTGGAATTCCTATGGGGAAATCCACGAGCCCGATCCTGGCTTCGGTGACCTGCGCTATGGCTGAGATGAAATTTTTGAAACAACTGGGATCAGAGAGAAGATTGGTGAGTGGCTGGCGCATCATGGATGACATCACTGTGATAGCTGGTGTAGATGGAGGGACCACAAACAAGCTTTTTCCCGGAAGCTTCTTCACGGCATTCGAAGAGATTTATGATAACAATCTTGAGGTGATCCGCAAGGATGAATGCGGATTGACCTGGCAATTCGTTGGGGGATCGATGTTTATCTGCGGGTCTCCGTTGCAGTTGCACTATGTACYGTGCACTAAMAACAYGGACGCACTGCAGGCCGGCAACGAGCYGGTGTTCCAGACAATGCAGGATTACAATTCTTACTCAGYGAAGGCRGTGAAGAAGKCAGTACTGAYGATGACGGTGAGAAGACTCTGGGACCACACTACTAGTAAACAGCTGGTACTGGGGGCAGTGGGTTTCGCCATCTGTGAAGCCAACCTCCGGGGCTACCCCCCGGAGGTCTCTCTGGGTGCCCTGGCCAGTTTGGCCAAGGCTGCGCCTGATAGGGCGCTGCATGTTTTGTTAGCCGCTCTGAGATTTGCGGCTCGAGGTAAGTAGGTTAATTCAGAAGGGTTTT